CAGGGACCTGCAAGGCCCCAGAGATGATCACAGAATAGTTTGGGTTAGTAGGGACCTTAATGATACCTGGATGCAGAGCTTTTCACCTCCTGGCTGGTTATTCCAAAGCAGTATTGGTGAACAGAAATCCCCTCATTCAAAAGCCATGATCTTAGGTCAAGTCAGGCCTTACAGTGCAGGGGTCATCTCAAAGGAAATTAAAAACAGCACCATAAAAATGTGGTTATGCCTGGTTTATTTAGCACCCCAAATGCAACTCAGGACAAGCAAACACTTGGAGGGAACCTTCCAATCCAGGATTTATACTACAGGCTTATCTGCTGGATGGCAAAATGCTGTGCATCCATCCTTTTAGGGTTTTTCAACTTTCCATACAGCAATTCCTTCTGCACATCCATAGATGAACTCTGAAAGAAGGCAGGAGGAGGAGAAAAGTCTCTCTGCAGAGCTCAGTATTACACAGCTATGAATTAAGATCACTAAAAAATAAGATCTGGAACAAAAGGGTATAAGGGAAATCCCTTCCCCTCCTTCCTTTAATTGTCCCCTTAAAGACCCATCCCAAGTCTCTAAAAAATACTGAGAGACTCCACAAAGACAAAACAGAGCACCAGTCCCACATCTGGGGTATATTAACTAAGATCTTCCTTTAATTGCCAATATTTAGAAACAAGAAAAAACTGGAGGGAAAGAATTCAAAAGAAATTCATGGGAAGTGCTAATTTTCAAGCCTCTTTGATTCTGCATTGGCTCAAAGTTGTTTCTGCTCATTTTTTTCTGTAAAATTATTTTCATTACACGATCAGGAACACTTTAAAATCTTCCAGTTTATATGAATTCTCACCCGGTTACTAAGGCAAACCACTCCAAAATTACATAGCAGTAGTACAACAAAGTGCTTGTAAGAACAGCTCTCAAAACCAGCTATTTTAGCTTTTCAAAACTCAAAAGCATCTGTAATTCTGCAAGTTGTTGAACTGCTAATACCCAAGCAAGAATCCTGTCCTGCTCCTGTGCAGATTGGCACCTCAAAAATAGAGATGGAGGATATGAAAAATTATTGTCACCACACAATGCCAGGAGACAAAAAAAAAAACCAATCAGAACATCCACCCCCCAAAATCTCCCAAATAAACCCCCAAAACAGTTCTTAGAAAATTCAGCAATGCTAAAGTTTAAAGTTTCAGCTGACAAAGCCTAGTTTAAAAAACAGCAGGTGCCTTTGGTTGTTTCACAACACGACACTGATGCTACAAGGCCAGGTCAAAGACCGTCCCTGCCTTTCCAGGAGTGGCACAGTGCTTTGGTGGTTTTGGGGTGTCCTGTCCCCAAGAGCTGTATGGGGACTGGCAGCAGCTCATGCAGCCCTCAGAAGTACATAGCAGCTCCTGCTGGCTTCTTTGTCTTCCAGATGCCTGACATTCAGAACTGTGAGCATCACCTCCTACCTCTGGAGAATTCATTGCAGGGGGTTATTAAGAAAGCAAGCTCCAGTACAGGCAGGTTAAACCCCTGCACTTGTGGGAACAGATTTTGACAGTGTTTACTTGCCCCATCTTACAAAAGGCTTCAATAAAAGCTTAGAAAAGCCAGTCATGAACACCTGCCAAGTCTATATACACCTCTTGCTCCACAAAAGAAAGCCAGCCTACTGGGAGACAACCAAGAGATCAGCCTAGGTGCTTGGCAGATGCCAGGCCACAGGTTGCACTTTCAAAAGCTGTCTGAAGACCACTTAAAGCTAGGTGCGTTCTGTTCACACGGAACAGAATACATCTTTTTAAACACATTTTTCCTTACCAGCAATGCTCTTGCAAACAACGTGGACATTTGACCCCACTCGTGGATATAGATGACTGGAATAAATGCCATTGATAACTATTTGTGAAGGAATAACTGAAACAGCAGTAGCAAAACACTCTGAACATTCAGCCCAATACATGTTGGAACGAGAGAGAGAGAGAGAGAGGCTTAAACAATCCATCAATGTTGCTTTATTAAAATCTTTATTCACACAATGTTGCTTTATGTGGAATCTGACCCTGGGGGATACAAGTAGAAAGTCATGATTGCATTCTGTTTTCTTATTAGCAATCTCCATTTCTGCAGCTGCTCCCAGGGGCAATCCTCTGACAGCTCCAAGAGGGGTGTCTGTTTTGAGCATCTTGCTCCAGCTGCCACAGCAAATAAATTACCTTCTTAATAAATTAGTATTTTTCAGTTGAAGTTTGTTTGGCATGACACACTCCAGTTCATTAGCTGCTGGAAGAGGAGCAGACTTCCGTGTCTCCTCCAGCCTGACTGCTGACTTCGGAAGGAGGAGATAAATAGCAGATGGCTGATGATGCTCTATTTTTAATTAGTTCTTGATTTCTGTGCTTCAAGCGCTCCTATATTACTAATATCCACAACACAACCGTTTTGTAACATCTGGAGCCAGCAGATTACAGTGTGCACAGTGAACAAGAATTAGAAGGTGTCATGAAAACCTCACCAACAGAGCATAGCACCTGCCTCACAAATGACACTTTTTCAGAGATTCAAGCAGACCCTGTTCGCATGTGGATCCTGCTTCTTATTTTGCAGGGTTCTGTATTCAAACAAAACAACAATCACTGCCAAAATGCCAGAGATTATCACAAGGCTAAAATCAGATCTTCCTGATTTTGGGGAAGAGAGGAATTTATTCTTCTTTCCTGCTGCAGAACACCATTCTCCAGTGGTGTTTACAGGGACCAGAAGTATCGATATGAAAAAAAAAAAAAAGAAGAAAAAAAGCAACCATTTCTTCCTTCCTCCTCCTGATGATGCCGGACTTCACGCCCTTTGTACAAGTAAACCGACACACTGCTTTAAATCTTTGACATTCATACTGGGGAAAACCTTATCCCCAGGTTCCACCTAACAGCAAAAGCTTCAGCTTAGAGCCCTGTGAAGAAATAATATGTAAGTCCCAAACACTAATTTAATTTCATAAAGACAGAAAGATTTTTTTTGGAATCCATTATTAAATCAAATGTAAATGATCAAGAGTGATCACACAGAAATCAAAATATCAAATTTTGGTAGGTCTTTCCCAAAATATTAAGTGCTCATGATTAAGCTCAAAGAGAAGAACATATTTTAAAAATGCTACACGCCATTACCATGTGCTTTACCATCTGCCCTTTATGTAAATAATCTTAAATTTCCTGGGAAAGAGCTTATGCCAAAATTCCTTAGTATGAACCTATTCTGCTTTAGAATAAAAGCACTCACTAACCACCTCACTGCTGCCCACAGTACTTCCCACAAATGTCTCACTCAACCACTGAAATTGGATGGCCAGCCCAGTGACAGGCCAGCTCAGCCAGCGAGGGCCCAGGGCAATCCCTGCATGGCTCCTGCCCACACACGCCATCAGCACACTCGCTTCTGCCCTAAGGGAACCCACAAGGCACAATCCACACTGGTGGGTCCTCACCAAGGGACCATGGCTTCCAAATCACATGTTATGTTATTAAGTACAACAGTAAGCAGGCACTAGCTAAACACCAGTGTCCTAAAAGCTGGCTGTGCATTACAGTCCTGACTAGTAACACCAATAAATAACTTCAGATCCCATGCTGGCTCTTGGGTGGGTCTGTGATGTGGCCAAGTCCAGAGCAGTTCTAGAACATAAAATTCAGTTTAACAGTTGCATTCTACTTTCAAGATACTCTGCTCATGCAACAGCAAAAAGACTCCAACAAAATAAAACTGCATTTAAAAAATAAACTCTCTCACTTATACCTCTTTGATCAGGTATAGCAGCAGGTACAAGAACAGAAACAGCTCTTTATCTGCCCACCAAACTACTCCAGAGCTACAAAGATTTTGACAGGCAAATCAAGGAAAAATTCTTAAACTGACATTTTGCTGCTCTTGCTCCCTAGTCCAATAATACATAATCACTTTGGGAAGTGAGCTCTTTCCTTACTTTTAAGGACCACACTGTCTAAACTGAAAACTGACACAAAGCTGTTAAATTTGGAAACATAATGATAAAGCTCCCTTCTCAGGAGACAGATTCAGACCTACCACAAGTGTGACAGGTTTTGCACCCACAAGCTCATCCACAGTGCAAGCTGACACAGTGCTGAAAGATGACAGCACTAGTACAAGACGAGAGCTACAAGTCTGCCCTGAAAGCCAAATTACACTAATTTTCTCCCTATCTATGGCAGTCATTAGGAGCAAGGACCCCAGGATGACTACCCCAGTCAGAACACTGCAGTAGGGGTTGCAGGAAGCAGCTGGGGAAGGCAGAAAACTTTCTAGAAGTGCTCACAGCTTCAGAGCTCAGCCACAAGCCAGGCCAGCTGAATGGTGAGACTGAAAAACTGCTGGCATTCCACAGAACAGCAACACTGAGCTGTGGTTATAACATCAAGCAGCAGGAAGCTCTCTTCATATGAGATGAAGAAGAAAGACCATGGCTCATGGATCTCTCCATTCTTCAGGACCTTGCCCATGGCTGCTGGTTACTGAGAAAGTTCAGCAATACACCTCTCTTTACCCAGTACAACACACCCAGACTCCCCACATTAAATAGGGCCTAAGTAAAAGCAGCATGACCTCGCTAAATAGAATCTGCTTCCAAGGACAGAGTCTGTCCTCCTTCTTAGCTACAATATAATGAAAATTTGGTTAATATGGGCACAGGACTGCAATGACATTTTCTCTACCCAGACCTTGCCAGATTCCATAAAAATGGAAAACAGTGACAGGACACAGGAAAACATACCTTAATCCCTTAACTACCAAGTGCTGTATAACCACGCTGTCCTCCCCTAAATCTCCAACCCTGTGGATAAATCTTTGATAGGACTTCAGCAAAAACACTGAAGCATTATCACATGATGCAAACCCCTTTCTCAGCCTTTTATCAAGGAAGAGACAACTGAGCAGCAGAGGTCCCCTCTCCCACCCCTAATGGCATTCAGAAGAACATCCCACCCCCGGGTAGGGTGGCACAACTCTTCAGTCTAATATTTTATTCACCACTTCCTCTTTCTCTAAAGAAGCAGTAAAATGCCTAACCAGCTCACAGCTGATTATGTACAACCCTGAATCAGACAAAAACTCGCAAAAGATTTGTGGGGAAGAGAAGGGCAGAGGATCGTACTGTTCATCTCCATTTGTTCCCTCTAGATTCGGTCTACAAATTAGTGTCTGTATTCCACACACTTCCACCAATATCAAGAGCCACTTTTATCCAGTGCAACGTCCACTGCCAGCAATGGACACACACCACAATGACCAAGATGCCATTACAAGTACTGAGCTATCCAAGGCTACAAATTCCCACCTCTCACTGCTGTCAGCCCAAGGTAAAAGCCAGCGTCACCTCTGTTTCTCTGGCTAGGAAGCTTTCCTGTTCATTTCAGTCCATCTTGGCCGCAGCCTTTCTGAACTGATTGTGCTGTTTTTCTATCACTTTTCTGTTTGTCTGTTTGTAAAAAAGGAGTTTCATCTGTGTTCCACTACAATTACAAATGAGACAGAGTCATCCTGTCTTCCACCAGCACAACATCTGGCCCAAACTGGTCTGTGCACTGCTTCACTGTAGCCAGAATGCTGAGAAGCCGCTGGTCTAGGGCATCCAGATGAGGGTCAGAAAGCACTGGTGAGATGGGGTCATGCGACATAGCAGTTTTTAAGGCAGACTTCAATGCTCCATTCTTCAGGTAATTAAGTCTGTTCCAGGTAGAAACCCGGATACTGCAAAAGAAACAAACACGTCATCATACCACTGTCAGTTGAAACCCCGTCAGCAATACCAAAGCAACCTCTTGAGGGAGCCTGTCACATCAAGAGCGGAGTCTTGCTAACCAAATGGTTTTGGATGGGAGGGTCCAGCTATAACTGCATTATATGCAGTACCTAATTGAAACTTGAAAACTGAAGGTGAAGAAGAAAGAAACTATTATGACTTAATTCTTATGTCATATAGGAACACTTGCAACTGCTAGCAAGGGAGTTCTTCAGTCCTGAGGCCTCCCAGACAGAGTTTGAAAAGGAAAGAAAATTAATAGTCTGGCTGTTAATTCAAACACAAAACTCACGTCACCTCAGAAGAGTATCAGTGAACAGCAATCAATCACAGAGAACAAAAGTCAGTTGACTGAACTTCCAAGAAAGTGAACACAGCAGTGATCTTTCTGGTCCATTGGCCATTGAACTTGTTCATATCAGCCCACATAAACTGAGTCGTTCTGTGAAGTTTTTTAGGATTCTCTCCCAGATTTTTGTATTTTAGCACCATTGGTCTAAACTCCTGGCTATTGATGGCCTCTACAGAAACCAGCAATATAACCATGTGCTGTATTAAACCTATAGTTAAAACAATTATGCATATTAATTTTTATATGGCATTTGCCTGGTATCAGAAAGAAAGGATATCTGAAAAGCAGAAAACTGAAGTTTCTTACATCGATAAACTTCTTTCCTGGTTGCATTTGGGAGAACCTAGATAAGAGATTCCAAAAGATCCTCATAAAGTGGGAAATGAAATATACATTTAAAATCACTGTAGGAAAACGAAATAACTTGAAAATCACTGTTCTCCATATGGATTCTAAAAGAATCTTGCAGAATTCTACTCCAGTAGGCCAGGTGTACTGTAGCATGCATAGAGTTTGCTTAGCACAAGCAAAGGGTGAGAGCTCAGGCTATCTGCAGAACTCCCAGGTGTCACAGGCCCTGAGGAATTCAGGAGATAGAACCTTCCAAGGCAAGGCTCAAGGAACTCTCAACTAAATGCTTAATTTGGAAGGCTTAACAGAGTTAATGTTATCTTGAAGTAGCAGAAGCAGAAAACAGGTATGTCAGTATTTTTCTTCCTGGAATTTTTAATAGAACGGTTTGGGTTGGAAAGGACCTTAGAGATCATCTAATTCCAAACTTCCTGCCACAGGCAAGCATAACTTCTGTTACACCAGGTTGCTCATAAGTTGCCCTAAGCCCTGTCCAATCTGGCCTCAAACACCTCCAGGGATGGAGCAGCCACAAATTCTCAGGCAACCTGTTCCAGTGCCTCACCATCCTCACAGTAAAGAACTTCTTCGTAATATACCGATCTCAATCTACCTTCTTCCAGTTTAAAGCCATTGCCCCATGTCGTATCACTACATGCCCTTGTAAAAAGCACCTCTCCAGCTTTCCTGTAGGCTCCCTTCAGGTAGTGGAAGGCTGCTATAAGGTCTCTCCCCTCAAACCTTCTCTTCTGCAGACTGAACAAGCCCAACTTTCTTAGCCTGTCTTCACAGGAGATGCACTCCAGCCCCCTGATCATCTATTCATTAATGAGAAGTAGCAATAGCCTGGTGAGAGAGCAGACACAGAAAACAGAAATCAACAAGTCACAGCTTCTAAAAATAAAACAAAACCACAGCTCAGAGGGCCAAAGTGGAAACAAAATCCTGAAAAAACCCTATAAACTTCACACTGAAAGGAGCACCCTGAGCAGTGCTGCAATCTTGTTTAGAAAGAACATTTGGCAATGAAGGTAGTTAAACCGCCAGACACGTTGAGTCGTTAGCTTCTGTCAGGGAGAACTCAAACTGTGATGTGAACTTTTATTTGGCAGGATCTGGATGGAGACAGCTGCAGATGTAAAGTACTTGTCATACTGACTAAGGACAGATTTGAACCAGTGACCTGGAGGCAAGACTACTTCCTACAGCCTACCATCTGGTTTACTACCCTAATGAAAATGTATTTCTCAGCTTCTTGAGCAGTGACAATACATCAAACAAATATAGTAAAGCAAACATTTTCAAGTTGCCAGAAGGCTTCAAACTTAATTACATTGCAAACCTAAGGACAGCAATTACATAAGTGAGCAGCATCCCTGCATTTCACTTACATGCAGCACTGATAAAGAGGAGCCAAGATGCTTCTTTCATCCAGGGCAGGATTTCCAAAGCTGAAAAGCAAAATTAAAATCAAGTGAACCAGCTGAACTCCTAATGTTGTTCTCAACATCAAGAGATCTGTAAGGAATTAAAAAAAAATAAAAATCAATACTAGACAATTTCATGCTCCAACAGATCAAGTAATTCAAATTAAAATGTAAACAGGCTATGACCAATTACAAGTATAACTCTCAACAGTGTCAGCTAATGTACCAGGTAAACGAAAGCAACACTAGCATACCTACTTCTTTATCAGACCAAGGCACCTTAGAAACAAACTTCAGAGGAGTTTTGAAATTAAGTTCATCTTGTGAAGCAAGGGAAAGGAATAATTGGTATTCCGGACATAGAGAACAGTAGTGTTGCCTGTTTGACACAGCTGAACAGGAAATGAATAAAATAGCAGCCATGTGCTGGTTTAGATGGCCAAGCTCAGATCAACAGTTCAACTAACAAGATAATGAACTTTAATATTTCTTGACCACACTTTCTAAGGGAGGCCTGCCAAAAGGATTTCATGTTTAAAGCTTCATCTAACAAATGCTTTTTTTTTTTTTTTTTTTTTTTTTTTTTTTGGGGGGGGGTTTTAGGGGGTGGGTTAGTAGTTTCACTCTCCTCATAATACCAATTTCAACAAAGAACTTTGCCCTCAATAAAGATAACTCACTCTAGCACTCTAGGAGCCTGGCATTACTGAACTCAAATAATTCTGTTATTAGTAGCTTTAAAACTGGAATAGGCTCCCTGCAGCACCAAGAACATCTGGATGATGCTCTTAGTCATATGATTTAGTTTAGTGAGCTGCGACTAGATGATCCTCACAGGTCCCTTCCAACTTGAGATCTTCCACGATTCTATGAAAAATTTGTGTCCCTATCCCTTATCTCAAAGGAGCTGAAAGAATTTTACTTAAGCTTTCAAGAAAGCAATTTATTCCTGGGCCTGCAAAGCCCCACCGGAAATGTTTTCATAATGTTCCAAGCATGTACCATAATGAAAGAACATGACCTTCAACTACCGTATTCACTTCCAGTGACTAATACATTAACTTCCTCCTAGCATGTTGCAGAGCATTACAGAAAGACAATTTTTCCAAATTCAACTAAAGCAGTCTGAAAGCAGCAATAATTCAACAGTCCCAAGGTGGACTACATCCTGCTGACACAACCAAAGGAGTGTGATTGAACAGGCTGATGCATAAAGACAAACTATTCATGTCAGCCACTCCAGACAAATTAGAAACAAAAGAAAGAAGAAATCTACTATATGAAAGGCAAATGGAGAAAGAAATCGTAACACTAAGCCTTCCAAGGATCTGTCTAGACCACAGGTCTCAATTGCTGTGTATGCTTCCTACAGGCCGTATGCAAAGCCACTGTAGAGCACAGCCTGGCACAGGTACTGCCAGAGCTAACCATCAGAAGGTGCTCCATCCACAGAAGGGGAAACTCACTGTCACTGCAAATGGTAGTGCCCATCAGAAATAAAAACCATGGGAGTCTCTGGACTAAATCATGAGAAAATACAGTAAGTTATCTGTTTTCAAAGGTAAATTAAACAAATCATGATTTAAACAAGGCCGTATCTTCAATAGGATTTTTAAATTATACTATAGCAGCCACATACAAAAACTATAGCAAAGACAGAACAACTCACATTTTAAACACATACGCATAGTAAAGTTTGGTCTCAAGAAGGACTTTCCATCAGTTAATTTATGCTTCATTGTTGTTTCAATAGACATCATAGTATTTTACTCTCAGTATCAGTTCTATCTCCAGTTTAAACATTTAACCTTTTAAAGCCGGAGTAGACGTATCCAGAAAGCAGGGGATTCCAATTTATTCAGAAACATGTTTTGAAAAGATTTGCTTTTATTGTGGAACTTACTAATATTCACTGGTAAATAATAAATCATAACTCTTTAATCTTCCATTAATTAAAAATATAAAAGAGAGGGGCTTTTCTGGGGGTATGAGGAGAGACACAAGCAAGTTTTTGAAAGCTCCTTGGGGAAAAAAGGTCATACTGTGCTAATTTGGGAGTTTCTGTTATTTGCGTAAGACTTTGCCCAAAGCAGTCATAGTATTTAGGGCACAGAGCAAGCACCACAGCCTTCAAAGGACTCTGCTATCTGATGAGTAATTTCTGATAAGAAGGAAAGCTTTGGATTTTTAGTGCAAAAGGTATTAATGAAAAATTGTGGAAGAAAACAGAGAGATATGGAGCAAATAAATGTTTGCCCTTGTGCTCAACACTGCCTGGCCACCAGGATTTCCTTTATCCTCACCTTTTGGCATTATCCAAGAGGATGAGCATACTGGCTCCTTCATCATCCTGGAAACTCTCATAGTGATGCCTGTCAGCATTCCCAATCAAATAGTCAAAGATCGCAGTGTCAATGATATCAAGGAGACGAGGGCCCGAGTCATATGGTGAAGTCTTCTTCACAGCATCACAATAGCTTTCATCATACTCCCACCTGCAGGCCATGAAGAGAAAACAAATCAAATCTTCAAGGAATACTCCATCATTGCACAGCAATGGTATTTATAGCTGCCCCTTCATTCACTTATAAGTGCAGTTAAAGCTATAAAAAGAACTAGACAAAAGTGTTTTAATAGAAGGGTAAACCCTTTATTAAAACCCTAGCATATGGAACAACCTATAATTTCAGTGCAAGGTTACACATCATCTTCCTACAGAAAACAAGGTTGGAGTTTGCTTCCTCAATTCAGCAGTGTTTGGGCTGTCTCACGGCAATATTACTGGCATAACTTGTCTCCCTTAACTTCTGAGGACTTCAAATCCTGCGTCTGTTTCTACTGCCTTGACCTGCTCTCATCAGTCTTGCTTTCCAGCAATCCTCTTCATTTTTTCTTTCAAATACAAATAACGTCATCTTGGTTACTAACAACCACCTCCTATGTATTCATTCTAGTTCATCACGGTTGTCTCTTTCCTCCCTACTTTCCTTTAACAGTATCTCACCTTTTTCTTCACTGGCAAGATTTCAAGCTTGCCTCTTCTCTCCTCTCCTTCTACATGTAACCTAGGCATGCAGTTCCATTCTCATAACATGGATGTCATGTCTCAATTCTCCAGAGCTAGGATTTGAAATTTTCTCATGTTATTCGTTACAGTTTTCAAAGCTGAAAGGACTGAAACAATCCTTCACAAAATAGTAGTTAAGTTGGAAATGCCTTAAACCATTTGTGGCTTAGAAACAGAAAAGAGGAAACACAAGCTGGAGAGACTTGTTGACATGCTCAGAACTGCAGAGGCACATAAAAGCAGGGAGAAGGTAAGAATTTGACTACTAGAACTGCCACATACCCCACCTCATCTTCTAAAGGTCTGGAGCCTAAGCTCCCAATATCCCATCTTTCCTCCAGTTATCCAAATCAGAGTGGCCAAAAATTCATCTTCTCAATGTTATTTTTAACACATCACATGCTACACAATTGCTGACTCTAGTTCCCTCTTTCTTTTGCATCAAGGTCCAACTCACATTCAACTTACAGCACAAATCCACAAGGCAAAAGTCTGAGAACATACTCCTCTTTGTATTGGATACATTCCTTTTATGCTACATTTCTCTCTCCCTCAAGTGTTTCCATCATTTTACTTCAGATCAGTACTTAATCGCCTTTCAAAAATTTTTCAGATACATTATTGTATCTCTTCTCATTTTCTATTCAGTTGTTCAAGACAGACCCTTCTCTGACATTTATTTTGGATCATTTATATTGTACTATTGTAGGACTTCGAAGGTCAGGGATTTTATTTATTACACTCCATTAAAAATTATGTACACTAATGTGACTATATGAATTATGTTCAAAAGGTCAATTCAGGACAGAGTAGAAGCATCTAGGTCAGGAAAAAAATTCCTACAGAGTTCTTTCTCCATAATCACCGAACACAGCAAAAGGAGAGCACGACATCTACAACATTTTATTCTCCTGATGCTCTCAAAGTGAAAAGCGCAACATGACAAGATGCAAAACAACAGAACCATGCAATCCCAACTGGACGAAGTAAGAACAAGTAAGTTTAAAACACAATGAATATCAAATCCGTGTAGGTATCATGTAAACTGTAGGCAGGCAGTTTATGATGAAAAAGTCTCTCAAGAAAAACCTCCAAGAAATTAAATCCATTCAGTACTGCAATTTACCATATACAGCTGATTTAGAGCTGTTGGAAAGGAGACAACATCTGCTGCTCAAAAATCAAACTGTATATTTAATACTCTAAAACAATTCAATGAAGCATTTGGACAAGATTCTTTCTCAGAACAATAGTATCATTGGAAATCAATGGGTATTTTAGATCAAGGACTAACAATCTCTTTCTAGTGTCTTGTCCAGGACTTGGAAAAATTTACTAAGTGTAAAAAGCATTTGCTCTGGTCATGGCAAAAACATCTCTAACCCAATTACTCAGACATGTTATATCTACTGTACGAGATTGCTAGATCCCATGTTTGTCTTTTTCTAAAAGCCTTTCTTTAGATGCTGAGCATGGTCACCAAATACACCAAAGTATTCAAAGCAAAGAACTTTCTGCTGCCTACCTACTTTAGCTAAACTAGCTCCACACCTCTTGAAACAAACTACAAGGATCATGAAATCAGGTCTGTTAGAAAATAGCATAATGCTATCACACTTTAGTGGGCCACAAAGAGGCACGGTGTCAAAAGAAGGTCTAGTGGCAAAAAAGGAGTGTTGGTTTGCCCAGAGTCAAGAGTTTCAGAGCTTGGAATGACTGCATAGTGGAGTTCTGTTCCAGTAAAGAATTAGGAAAAGTATAGCACTTAGTATCATGGAAAACAATGAAGATTTCTTTCTTCTCAGTTTAATTTAAATCCCCTCCTAGACTTCTGCATCCAGAAAACTGTTGGCAACACACTATGTTTTCAGAACACTTGCTCCTTTATTAGCTACTGTATTGCATGGGTAGTTCTAGTACAAATTATCATGCATAAAGAATAACCCTATCATGTTCTCATACCTGGCAAGTTTGCCTTCACGGTAAGTCCTACCCCATGGGTGCCGATGTTTCTGAAGAGGCCAGACATCTGGAAGCCAGAGGGTCACTGACCCCTCCATGATGTCCCCATCTGCACAAGCTGGTTCTGTTTCCCGACAATAGTAGCACTTCCCATAGAAGCAAGTGTTATTACCTTAAGCAAACAAACAAAAAAAGAGATATCAAAAGAGCAGAGCTTAATCCAAAGCATGCCAACTGAAACTCAGGTACATATTGTTGTAGCAGAGCCTTGCCTGTAATAGGATTTCACTGCACTTGACCTCATGTCTCCTACCTCTGAGAGTGAGAAGAGAAATAAACAGTTATCTATTCATTTAAAGCAACATTAAAGACTAATATTCAAAGGAGAAAGTAATTATTTTCTAATGTTTTTATCACACTGAGAGTTAGTAAAACACTGTACTATCAACAAGTTCTTGTGATCCTTCCCTAATCCTTAGAACCTTCACTTTGCAACCTTAGCACTCTGTTTTTTTTAAATTTCCACACTTCATGTGTCAGGTTTCCACCTTTTTTGAAAAAGTTGTCCAAAAAGAAGTAAATGAAAGAAGACTAAGCAGAACGCAAATGGATTTGCAGTCGTTCTGTCAGTTTCATGGGTGTCTTCTGACAGGAGGGGCACAATGAAACCCTGTAGTCTTTAGTTGGTTACGGCCTACTTTGCCTGAAGCTGGAAGAAATCTGTGTAGCTTAGATTAACATTTTTCACTTAATCTTTTCTATTTCACCCTTCTAACCTGCCTTTGCCAAGTTATTTCATTCACAGATGTTCTTCCAAAACATTCTTCAACTATGTCTCACTTCCTTGTGATTCCACCTATTCCCTGTCCTTTCTTCTTGACTTTACATCCAATATCCTCCCCAAACCCTGAAAGACGTGTTTTTCACTTTCCATCCTTACATTTCACACCCTTACACATCCCCTGGCCAGCCAGCACTCCTTTGCAGTCCTCCATCTAGACCAGGCTCTTGTGCTCCCAATACCCCAGTCAGACAACTTAAGGACATCAGAGAGGTGATCATTAACAGCACAGAGCTTGCAGCAGACCAGACCTCTTATTTGTACAGAAAGTCCTGCAAGTGCCTCTTCCTATCCATGGCCTGCAGCAGGTCTAGCAAGAGACAGAATTCTTTTGAGATCCTAGCTGCAGCTCTAGCAAATCTGCACTGAGTATGCATGAATTATCTTCTCTTCAAAACCTCAGAAACATAGTCATAATTGGGCTAACAAGAGACCAACCTTCTTCCCAGACCCACCCATTTCTCTGGCTCATGCTCTGCAGAGCACGTGGTTCCAAGGAATCTAAGGAGAGGCAATGAAGATTTTTGCAACCTACTTTTCAAGTCAGCGTTTCCGCTATAAAACTGCTTAGTTATCTTGGCTGAAATTAGGAAAAGTCTGCCTGAGGCAGACACTCAATGCGAATGCAAAGAGTTTGGCAAGGCAGACGTATTCTCATCTGAAAGTTACATCTTATAACTGGAAGTGTTAGGCAAACAGTAGGTGAGACTGCCAATAGTGCTCATAATAGAAATATACACAGGCATACATATTTACCAGCTCTAATGAACAAGCATCTCTAGAGTCTTATTATTAGAAAAAAAGCCAAAGACAATAATAATTGGATATTTTATGAAAGCCTGAAGGAGTTAAGACTGCAGCCTAAGTAATTTCTTGGTGTTTAATGACCACCTGGTAGGAGTTCACATTAATAATTCCCATTAAGTGCCCTTCACAGCGTTATTAGTGTAAACAACATACGGAAGTTCTGACACATTTAGTTATGAATTCTCAGCAGACTCTGATGTAGCACAAACAACATCTAATATCAACCAACGCATCAGCTCTATAAATTATCCCAAATCATCACTGTGTTCATGTTAAATACAATTCATTTTTTTTCCCTCCAGGTCTAATACAGACTTTTCTAACCACCTCTGACAGCAGAGAGAAAATTCTTGCTTAAAACAAATCACATCTGTAAGAGCAGCATAAGGGAACATACAAAAGTTACAGATCAAAAGCTACTTGTAGAAAATCAAGTCCTCCTCCCCTGTCAAATAGGGTTATACAAGTGTTATGATCTCTCTTGGCACAGAAAGAGACTTAGCAGCTCTCTGTATCATAGTTAACTGTTCTGTAAGTGTGTCAGATCCCCATGGCTCACTTCGCCATTAAACACATTGGGTTTTTTTACTGGCTTGCACATTTCATGAAATGCACTTACCCACAGTCATGAAGGTACCCAGAAGCTGCTCTGTGGCTACTGGTTTAATCTCTGTACGTAAATTCACAAACCTGCCAACCACCAGTGGAGCTCGTCGGAACCCGAGAATTCTGATTTGAGATGAAAAAACGTGACATGAGAATTTGCAACACAGGCAGAAGTTCTAAATTAAAACAAGACCACTGCCTCTGTGCCATCGTCTGGGATAACTGAGACCAAAGAATAAAGTTGGAGCCCTGTAGCAACCTTTTCTCTTCTCCAAGACAAAGTAAGGAAACTCATTTAAATGCCTGGATGTTAAACTTGCTTTACAGGCCATCAGTGACACTCCTTTATTACGACATTTGCAGCAGAGCCACACAGGATGTGCCATGCTCCAACTCTCAGAAGTCAGACCTCATACCAGAAATATCCATCATCTGTCTTGTGTACAGGCTAAAGCAGTAACCATATGGCCTTTAGGCCACCTGGAAAGATCATTTATAATTTGTGGGAATTACTCTCTATTAAAATGTTATGTTTAAGCCCAATTCAATTATACTTGAAAGTAAACAATCAAGGAGTTATTTTGTTTGGCATGAGAGGGCAGAACGGAAAAGAGAATGGTAGAACAAAACTGAATGCCTGAGAAGTGTCTGGACAGAAAAAGGAGGTGGGAAGAACAATCGGAAAACCTGGATCACAAGATCCAGGTTCCACTCCCATGTCTGCCATGGCCTTTGCTCTGTGACCACAAATGACTTAAAATTCCATTACAAATCCCCAAAAGTGCTTGAATGAAGAGTACAAACATCAGTACAATCTCAGTCCCAACTTTCTTAGTGTACTTTCGATAACCCTTTTGGTAGTCTTTGCTGTTCAGAAAAAGAGACTGAAAAGGGACTGTCTCTTCTGAAAAAGGGACAATCTACATTCCACAGAGATATGGAGAGTCACTAACAGCTGCACAGTATTTCTGGGTTTAGATATTCAATGAGTAAGTCCCCTTCCATAAGTATAAAATATCTCTAAGAAAAGGCAACACAAAATGTCTGCCCGAACAAATCATGCATGCATAAAGACAGAATTCATAGCCAACACAGAAATTTATGTACAGCTTAAGAAAATGCAAGGGTTCCAAGTAAATAAGCACAGAGCTTAAATCTGGAAAACCTGTTCCTGTTTTTCATACCCGCAGCTGAAAGGCCACTATCCAGGATAACACAGCCTCCCCATTAGTGGTAAACATGTGGTATGAATCAGATCCTTCTTGAAACAATAGCATCCTTAGACAAAATATGTAACCATCACCATTCAAAACAAATGTACATGCTAAAGTTATGTGGGCAGGTAGCTTCTGCTAGGTATTCTTGAAGAATAAAGGTGCATACCCACAAAGAAGAGAAAGGCCAGGGGAGCAAGCACAAAACCACAACCAAATAGACACGGAAGAAGAGCTAAGAAAGAGGGGTCTGGATACTGGAAAGATGCTTTGAATTGCTGCTTTACAATGTCATATCACTGCTTTTGCAGGGAAACTGAATTCTATATGTTTCTTGAAAGCACAAAGGAACAACACACATCTGACTACATCCCAAGTGCCAACATAGCCCTCTTATAATGAGGAGATGAAGACAGTACTCATTTATTCTAGATGAAATTGCACCTCTAACAGTATATCATAACTATTGACATTCAGTGTTTGGTATTTTCTGTTCCGCTCTTAGTGCGTCCTGTAACTGTTTTTCTTGTAATTGCACATCTTGCTCAGGTCCACAAAGCCATCTGGGCACCCCTGAATAGAATACCCAAATAGCTGGTTTTCCTTTAGACTGCACTGACTCATATTTACTCGAGACTAAATTAAGTCTAGATATTACACTTAACTTTTTAGTGTACTGGATGTTAACTTAGCACATACATTCAGCATTGCAGACTCCTCCACAGGATTTGGCTAAGCTCTTTCTTCCATATAATATTATGTATCAGTGGTACCTTTCTCCTTTTTAAGATTTTTGTGAAAAATTTGAACATTAGAATCTTGACATGAATTTTTATTTTTGCTTCAATGTGGTATATTGGCAGGTTAGAACTAGCTCACATTTGAGCTGTATTCTTTAAGGAATCCCTTTTCCCTCCAACTCTGACAAAGCATTTACCAGAGACCATAAAACCAGGTAACCCAATAATTTCATACCTGTCCAAGTGAAAAGCTGCCACTTCTGCGTTGTGTCTGTCATAGCCAGCGTATGGTTCCCCTTCCACTACATAATCCCTGGCATATCTATAATTGAAATAAGTCAAAGTGATTCATTCAGGATTTCCATCAATTTTGCTGTTCAGAGTAACAAGTGCAATAACAGTGCTATGTTAAACAGATTCTGGGTCGCTTTCAAAATGATTGCAAATGGGAGAGGGAAAAATATTAATGAGATTAAATAGCATACAGAGTGTTGAAATAGTAAATAAGGGGGAAAGGTCAGTAATGTACAGTGGTCTCAAAAGCTTAGGAAGTTGTACGCATTCAAATGAATGGGTTTTAATTCAACCATATGCCAAATCACATCTAAGAAGAAAGAGCACAGACCCAGCTACAGAACAGGGGACTATTTATACTGGAAAGCAGCAACTCCACAAATGATTTGAGGTTAGAATGGATTGCAGATTAACATGAAAATACAATATGATATTGTGGAAGAATGCCAAATGCAATCTTCAATAGCTAGAAGATCAGCAAGCGCGAACCTGAGGACAACACTGGATATTAAAAAGACCCTTTATTCTGGTGAAGAAAAAACACAATGAAAAGCAAGAAACAGAAATTAAACACTCATTACAACAACAACAGTATATTTTAGTGAAGTGGTGGGCTTGCCTCCCACCCCTTTTTTTTTTCTTTAATAGATGTTACTTAGGTAATCCAGGCAAATACATATTCCAAGATTCATGACATATGAATCAGGTCCAGATACTGCTTAAGCAGCATGCTTTCAGGTGAGCCTAAAATGCCACAATCAATACCAAGTAAATGGGTGAAATTAAATACATTTTCAAATAAAGTAAGCCCAGATTAGAGTACCTATTTTCTCATATCCATTAACATATCGAATTGTGTAAACTGGATTATTTCCAACAGGTTTGGAGTTCAAGCAGTAGCAGCAAGTTTAAGCGAAGCCACAGTGTTCTACTTTGATGTTTTAACCCTGCCCAGAGAATATCTAGGGCAAGACAACAGTCCATTTCATCGATCTGAGCAAATGCTTTACTTTCTCTGCAAGGCAGTTCAAAAGAGAATTAACTAGTGCAGGATGGTATGGAGATTTTTGGGAGGAAGATCTGACAGAACCCTGCCAAATTGGAACTTACACCAAACAAGCATCTTATTTCACGTATACCACTGGCATGTGATGGTGGAAACTATTAAATCATCAGTAACTTTGTCTGGATTTCAAGCAATTTTGAAATGAGACAGGTAACCCTCACAACATGTCCTCAAAGTCAGGCCTTTTGTATGTACTTACAGCAGGCTTTTGAAAACATGGTCACATTTAGAAAGCTGCAGAGCTAAAAGTTATTGGTATTGCTTCCGTGCACAGTAGGCATCTAGTCCTTTCTAGAGCAAAGGTAACAAGAGAATTCACTCTTCCCCAACCAGTAAGTTTTCTCAAAATGGTTTTTAGTACTAACTGTGACATATCTTTCAGGTCAAAAGCTAGTTAAATAGACTATCTTGCAATGACAAAACAAGACTCTACCTACAAACCTAGCTATTCGGCAGTCACAAACAGAACATGGGTCTACCAGTATGGCTAGGGCCATACTGTCTAGCGCTCCTATAAACATTCCCAGCTGCACGTGCCCCTGATGGAGCATACTCACTGAGTTTGCCTGCATAGACATTCCATTATGGGAATGTAATTTAATGCCCAGTGAAACGCTTTACAGCACTCATTTATACAGAAAGCACTATAGAAATGCCATGTCCTGTTATTGCATTTATTGGATAAGCTGCCTGTCATACCACCAAGGCTTCTAAGTGAAAGGTTCATACTGTTTAAATGCAGCCTAGGCCCACAGTAAAGGTCCAGCCAGACCAGTAGTTGACCATGCAGAAACAGGACTGTGAGTTCAAGAAGTAGAGGGCAGATTTTTTTTCCCCCATACTCTAATTTTGGCAAGCGATGTCAAAAATAACAGGAAAGGCTTCTATAGGTACGTAGCAGATAAAAGACAGACTAGGGACAACGTGGACCCTCTCCGGAAGCTATCACGAGAACTGGCTACCCTGGATTTGGAGAAGGCTGAGGTTCTTAATGACTTCTTTGCCTCTGTCTTCACTAGCAAATGCTCAGACCACACCACCCAAGTCTTGGAAGGCAAACACAGGGACTGTGAGAATGAAGACCTTAGGCCCACTGTAGGAGACGACCAGGTTCGAGACCACCTTAAGAACCTGAATGTGCACAAGTCCATGGGACCTGATGAAATCCATCCACGGGTCCTGAAGGAGCTGGCGAATGAAGTTGCTAAGCCACTGTCCACAATATTTGAAAAATCATGGCAGTCCGGTGAAGTTCCTGATGACTGGAAGATGGGAAATGTAACCCCCATTTTCAAGAAGGGGAAGGTGGAAGACCCAGGGAACTACAGACCAGTCAGTCTCACCTCTGTGCCTGGCAAAATCTTGGAGCAGATTCTCCTGGAAAGAATGCTGAGGCACATGAAATTTGATGGATGGACCACTCAGTGGATAAAGAACTGGCTGGATGGCCGCACACAAAGAGTTGTGGTCAACGGTTCAATGTCCACATGGAGACCAGTAACGAGTGGTGTCCCTCAGGGATCGGTGTTGGGACCTGTGTTGTTCAACATCTTTGTCGGTGACATGGACAGTGGGATTGAGTGTGCCCTCAGCAAGTTTGCTGACGACACCAAGCTGTGTGGCTCGGTTGATACACTGGGGGCAAGGGATGCCATCCAGAGGGGCCTTGACACGCTTCCATGATGACAACACTTTACATTTGCAGTGTGATCCCATAAAACACACCTGCCTTTTTCACATCTTTTTCTTCTCCTTTTCCCGAAAGGCAAACAGTTCAAAAAGCCTGACAGATGTGCACAAGACTCTTTATAAATGTTCAATCATGTAAAATTTCCCTGCAGATCAATGTAAACAGAGGCCATACCAAGGAAGTATCACTACCCACCCATTCTTACATGGCACCTCCAGTATTCACTATCAGCAGACAGGAAACACAGGAGCTTTCACTCTGACCTACCAAGCCATTTTTACAGTCTTCATGCAGCTACACCAGACGCCCAGATCTACTTTTAGGACCAGTGCCAACTCTCAGTCCTTTCCTGTTCTTGAACTGCATTCTCTCATGGTAGTTTGACATGACCCCTATGCAGAAAAGGTAGGCAAGACTCCACACTGCCAGAACCTGCACTTCCAGAATCAGAAAGATACTGCTTAGAAATATTAGATCTAATCAACAATCCCCCAGGACTGAACACAGTGATTATTCTTTTAACCAAACGACAGGCCGTTTCGAGCATCAAAGCTATACAGCCTGAGAGACAGTTGGCACAGCAACCTAATGTTACTAAGAGCACCAGCAAGGCTCTATACCATCTGTCTCACAAATAACAGAATGGCCTTTCCATTTACGTGTAAATTTGTAACTTAAACATTAATGCAATATCATGGAGATAAAAAATATACATAAATCAGTTATTAACTGAAGGAAAAATTTACCTCTTGGGTTTGAAGACAACCTTCTGTCCTCCTTCAAGTATTAGCAAAGCTTTCAGTTGGGTCCCTTTGTATCCCACATCAGCTTTTATTATTTTCTTGGTTGTCATGGCATGCATAACAGCCCCAAGCTCAGGTGTCTCTTCGGGATACACCTCTCGGGGCACCACCCACTGGGCTGCAATCTCCCAAGGGGACTGCAACGTATGGTCAAGTCGGGGGTCCAGTTCTACATGGAGGCTTGCCATCATACGGTGAAAGGCGCGCTGGTCTTCCCGGTTGGCAGCTGAGGTGTCCAAGTTGTCAATGAGGAAAACTTTTGTGAAAATGAAGATGACAAGGAGGATGGCCAGCAGCACTACTCGCTGCTTTAGCTTCATGGTGACCTTCAACCCTTCTCCCCTGACCCTTTCTTCCAAGTGCTACAGGAAGTCTATTGGAGATCAGGGTGAGGAAGGGATGTTAGTTAATGAATTTCATTCATAACTTGCATTGTGAAAGAGGTATCACCACTGAAGCATCTTCTGGTACCCCTAAAAATAAACAAAAACCACAAACTAACAGAACTGTATTACTGCAGATCACAGCAAACTCAAAATCAAGTTTGTGCTTGGAACATAATTCCACATTTATGTACATTTGTATCCTAAAGCCCAAACATTTCTGTTAACACAGATGGGGTTTGCTCTCCTCCTGTAATTCTTCAGCAATCAGCACAAAAGGAGAAATTGCCTTGTAGCATATCTACACAGCTGAAATCATAACAGCTGCAACTATCATGGGCAAGACTTTTGCAGAGAATTGTTACACAAACACTTTTCCATTAGTAAAAGACCTGTGACCATTCCATGACCTGTGGCCTCCTATAGATTTGTCCCTCAAGAGAAAGCTCCCAGGTAGATTTTTAGACATCTGACAAGCAGTGAGAACAGATGCACAGCCTAGTTTTCTAAAGGCACAAGACATAAGGACAGAATAGACCTAATTTGTTTATTGCCTTTCATTTGCTGCCACTATAAATCACTCGGCTTTTGGCCTTGGCCAGTAGAGTGTTAGCATGTTAAGGACCATATAACACACAGTCAACTTTGTTTCAATTATGAGGACAGAAATTATCTTCATAATATTAGTTGAAAGTAGTCAAAACCCAAATGGAAATGGATACTAAAGCACATCCCTGAGGAACACTCTGGAGCACTGGAAATTTCTCTTTGCACAAGCTATGCTAGTCATGAAACCCACAAATGACACCCTGAGTTGTGGCAGGACTAAATCTCATGCGATTTAGCAATGAGTGTATAAACCAGTCATTATTAATCATGTCACTGGAAAAGCAAGCTGCACAGGCTAAGTTAATTTACCAGCAGCAACCAAAGGACAACTAAGCAAAGTGCAAGGTCCTACACCTGGGT